CTCTTTTTAGGAAAAAGACTTCCAGTCATAAATGAAGTAATTTTACCTTAGTAATTTTAACAGAGACACAATATTACTAGTCAAGTTGTTACACATAAGTAATTATTAATGCTATATGTGAGGCAAAAAATAATCTCAAAAATTCTAGAGATGATATGTGGATTTTTGTTCAATAAAGACAAGATTGCCCTTATTAAATAGGTAGGCTCCTCATATACTCCTATGCGCAACTCACACCCTTGAAGGTTCCAGCAGTTGAATACAGTCGCCTACAGCTCACCTGCCCTTGGCAAGAAAAAGTCAAAACATTAAAGATAAGGATTAATTACCCAAATCCTATATTTAATACATTCTCAATTGATGATTGACTCCAATCAAGTAGGTAATCCCAATTTAAACCAATTAGGGATAATTACTCCATTATCTCAAGATATTATTTCCTATTTATTATCTTGAGAATATTTCTTCATAAACCTTGTCCAATAGGATGTTGCCATGTGTAGGGTAAAACCCTAACACTATGGCCAGCCCTTTCCCCTATATATACCTCATATTCTACCAAATTTTAGAAGCTTTTGCTACCCCTAAAAAGCCCTAAACACTTTACTCTCTCAGAGAAACTGACTTAGGCATCGGAGGCCCAGGTCTATTCGTTAACCCACAGGTCCATTTGCTAACCCACAGGCGGGAGGCCCAGGTCCATTCGCTAACCCACAGGTAGGAGACCCAGGTCCACCGAGCTATGAGCCAAGCCTAGGAGGTGATGTGATAAATAATAGCACTCAAATTAAACCCTCTTTTTGACAATTGTAGTAGAGATATAAGTAGGGATCGTTCTGTTGGAAATGTGCCCTAAAACCAATCATATGATGATACTTTACGGACATTTCAAACTAATGTAGTTTAAATGTAAAGGGCAAACATTATTGTTTGAGCCGTCTCATATAAATGTTATATGCTTAAACGATAAGTCCAAGGAATATGTGATTGGAAGAATGCAATCTAAAGAAGTTAGATTCATGAGACCATTCTTTCGTAGACACATCCTAAACGTTCCTGATCATAGGATTGCCAATTGGGCATTGACAGTCCGTTAAGATCAGTACGTGCTATGTCTTCTCTCAGGGAGAGTGACTAGTCTCGAGTCATTGGTGTGTGTGACATCAAGACAAGTACGTAGGTGCTCAATAGAGAATGAGTTCACTGAACACGATCAACGAAGAGTTCTCATATTCATGTCACATGAGAACTCATGGTTGGGATAATGCAAATTAGTCTTTTGACCTGAGGCATCACAGTTGTCTTGTGGTTAGGTCCTTAATCTTTGATTATGTCAAAGTCACTCCATCAGGAGGGTGTCCATGGCATCGTTGGGGTTAAGCCACTTAGCCATGGAGGCAAGTGAATGCGCAACAAGGGATCTCTAACCTTCAAACTGTTTGAGGGAGAATACTCTATGATATGATTAAAGAATCTTTGGCCAAAGTATGAATGAGATTTAGGAATGTGTTCCAAATCACATTCAAGGTAATCATATAAGCACAAGACTCACATTGGATAGTAGACATGAATAAACTATCAAACCAAACAATGTGGTCAAGAGTATTGTATTAGAGAAAGATCGTATTGCATTTGTAATCCTAAAACTGAATAGGTTCTCCACCTCTTCTGATTAGCTTGGGTAACCATGACATGCTGCTAGGCGTCAACCATGGTTTGTGGAAGCCCTAAAAGTGTATTATCACTAACGGGAGAATTGAAAGTAAGTTTCAATTCACAATCGATTAGAACGAGTTTTAATCGCCCACTGCCTCGCTAAAAGGAACCTAATGGATCGTTCACCGAGTAAGGTAGAGTTTGAAGAAACAACGGAGATGAGTAAGAATAATTAAATGGTTTAATTATTTATCTAAGGCTAGGATTAATTAATATGTTAATTAATTAAACGAATAAGTTCGTTAAAAACCTCGGGTTAGTTTTGGGCCGCAAGGCCCAATGGGATTTGAATGTCAAGCCCATTAACTCAAGTTGTATGACAACTTGAATAAACAAAGGGCTTGAAAGCCCAATAAACCTATAGGCCGGCCATGTTAGAAGAATAGGGCTTTTGGTCCATTAGGTCACTTATTTGAAGGGACTATATAAAGGACTTTATAGCCTAAAATTCATTAAGGGTTATTTTTGGGGAAATGATGAGAACACAAGCTCTCCTTTCTCTCTAAAATTTCGGCCACCTTGGAGGGATCATCTAGCAATCAAACTCCTCCAAGGTCACTCATTTCTTCTTCATTATGCCTTGGTGATGAATCATTAGAGGTTCTCAATTTTGGGAACTTGGAGAAACCTTTTCATCCATCCAAATCCATGGATCTAAGATGCAAGGAATGAAGGCCCTCTCTTTGGGTGATTAGCCTTTGCTTATGCAAAGAGGAATCTACAAAGGTATTGATTTCTCAACTCACTTTGTTTTGAGTTGAGTCTTGGTTCACCTATCTACTAGGCTTTGAAGTTTATGGGTTAAGTTTTGTTTTTGAGTGCATATAAACATGATTCCGCCTTTTAATTGTTAATTGCATGTTGTTGATGTTGCTCAAATGAACTTGTTTTTCACAAATCTTCCTTCACGTTCTAGGCCGGGGATTAGGAGGGATTGCTAATCTAATGAAAATTGACTCAAAGATACAAAAATATGCTTAAAAACACTTAAACAAACTCAAAGACTCTTAACTAAACTTATATGACTCAAAAGAAACTTAAAAGACTCAAAACAACACAAAACAATCTAAAAGACTCAATTTAGACTCTAGGACTTAATTTGGACGAAAATAGAATTGGTTTTGACTCAAAAAACTCAAAAACACACTTTAGGACAGATTTGAAACAAGTAAGTAAAGGGGATTGGGTTTTGGACAAAATTAATGTAAACGAATTTGGGAAAAACTATGGATGATTAGATAGCTAGAGGATACTTTTCCACACATGATACATTCAAACACAAATTGATTTCCAGTTGCTTTTTCGATAAACCATGAACCTCAACACCCCAGATTAACCGTGACATCACTAATTAACCCTCAGATTTTCCTTTAGTTATTGGATTGGATGACATCATTCGACAACCCAAAGCATTCTTCAAAAGTCCCCTACATGACATCATAATAGAGATACAATCAAAGATCATTACGTTCTATGAAAATCATAAGTATTGACAAAGCACTTGTAACTATGACATCATGATACTCATGCTAGGAATTTACTTAACATGATTGTGAAAACAACCTTAACTACTTGTGAATATAAGTTTGTAACGATTATGTGAAACTCCCTTATATTCTAACACCAAATCATGCATGCAAACTAAGTGTGCACCCTTAATCAACAAACAAGAATAAGTTATCCATCAAACGGTTAAGTAAATTGCTTCACAATTTATGAAGTCACAACTGGAATTAATCAATTCATATTGCAAATATAGTCATGGTTTTAAAGTCTCCCCTAGCTAAAACAAGTTTAGCTCCTCATGTTTACAACAAAACAAAGAGAATATGAAATAAACATTGAAAACAAAGATTGAATACACCTAGAAACGCTCCAACAATCCAAGCTTGAATGGCCAAAACGAAATTCAAATTTTTTCTTGCCTTGGTGTAGCACGGAGAAGAAGAAGAACAACGAGAGATAACTCTTTGCAAGGGTAAGAGAAGAAGAAAGCTAGGGGAGGGAAAAAAATTTCCTCTAGCTTCTCTTTTCCTAGCTGGAATGATGATTGTTCTCCAAATTTATTTCATCCCTTGCTTACGGCAGAATTAAATAGGCATTGGGGGCAATTGGTTTCCTTTTCCTTGAAGAAGTCTATCTCCAAATCAAAGAAGGTGATCAAATTCAAATTGGGGAATAATTCTACAAGCCCATGCAACTTGGGATTTCCACACCTACTGCCTTTTTTCTGTATGCAGCCCGACAAGTGTGGTGGCATTTGTGGAGCCTAAAATAATCTCAAAAATTCTAGAGGTGACATGTGGACTTTTGCCAAAGAAAAACAAGATTGCCCTCAATAAATGGGTAGGCTCCTTAGATACTCCACGCGTAGCTCACAACCTTGAAGGTCTCAACAGTTGAATACAACTGCCCACAACTCACCTACCTTTGGCAAGAAAAAGTCAAAGCATTAAAGATAAGCATTAATTACCCAAATCCTATCTTTAATACATTCCCCAATTGAAGATTGACTCTAATCAAGTAAGTAATCCCAATTTAAATCAATTAGGGATAATTACTCCATTATCTCTAGATATTATTTCCTATTTAATATCTTGAGGAATATTTCTCCATAAACATTGGCCGATAGGATGCCGCCATGTGTAGGGTAAAACCCTAACACTATGGCCAGCCCTCCCCTCCTATATATACCCCATATTCTACCAAATTTCATAAGCTTTTGCTACCCCTAAAAGCCCTAAAACACTTTACTCTTCTTAGAGAAACTAACTTAGGCATAGGAGATTCATTAGCCTAAACACCCCCCCAACCTTGTGGTTGCTTGAGACTTAGGTCTTTGATCAAAGATGTTGATTGTTTTGTAGGTGTATTTTCGTCAAAGCTAGAGACAACAGAAATTTGCATCGGCATACATCATCAGAGGATTCAAAGTTGTAAAGAGATTGTAACCCTAAACTCATTTACACAAAACATTTATTTTGTACTTCTTTTATTTGCTACAAGATTTTAGTGTTTGCGCATGACAGACAATGCATTTTGTATGCTTGATTGCTTCTCCAAACAAACAAAAACAAATTGAATATTCTTCATAAGTGGCGTTATTCGCATTTTTATTTTTATTTTTACACATATTTTATTAATTTCTGTCCTTTTAATTTTTTTTTTTTTCAATTCATTCTAACAGTCATAATTAATAAAATATAAAAAAAAAATTAAAATTAAGTGTGTGAATAACCGTGAAATGTTACGGGACTCTTCACCCTTTGTGGTTGTTTGACTTGCAACTAAAGAAAAATCAACCACTCGATGAGACCATCGTCATGATTAAACCCATTTCGTGATTCTTCCCATCGAAGCCCGCACAAAACCCCCATCATGTTCCTCCGTTGAAAACCTTGTAACAAGTCCCGACTTTTTTATCACTTTCTCGGGAAAGTCAGAATATCCCCAGAAAAAACAGAGCGACCAATTCTCGTTCGTTTGATGGGCGTGATTTCCACTCAGAGAGGCTCGAGACCAGCGGCGACCCACGAAGGTGGCTTACCGGTCTCTCTTGGGGCGGGTTCGGCGGCGGCCCCCAAGAGAAAATGGTCCAATCTGATTCCTTTTTTTGTTGCCCTTGTTGTGATAGCAGAGATCGCGTTTCTGGGTAAGCTCGACATCGGAAATAACGCAGGTTTAGTAGACTCGTGGGCCGACTTGTTCGCCCGGACGCCGTTGACTCATGAAGTGGCTGTGCCGGCGGCGGAGAGTGGTGATTTGGAGTTGCTGAGTTGCGAGGAGTGGTTAGAGAGAGAGGATGCTATAGAGTACTCCAGGGATTTTGACAAAGAACCGGTTTTGGTTTCTGGTGATGAGAAGGTAATTTGCAGCTTTTTATTAGTTTCAATTGTGTTCTTAATACTGTGTAGTTTTCTAACACACACACACACACACACACGCGCACACACACATATATATATATATTTGTTTTATTGGGTTTTAGTTTAAAATTGAATTGTGATTGTACATGACAATAATGTCATGACACGAGTGAGGAAAATAGTGCAAGCGAGAATTTTTGTAAGATGTTTACACTGCTTAAGCTGTTGATTCTTGTCCTTGAAAGCAGGATGTGAAATTTGATATTCGCTTTTCGACTGCCTTGTGTTAGTCACTATTTGAGCAATTGATCCTTGACATCTGAAGCTGGTTAGGAAGTTTGATGCTTTTGGCTGCATTATGTTTTTTATTGTTCAATTTTAGTCAGCATTATGTTAGTCTTGGTAGAATGTAGTCTAGCGGCGGTGGAGGACCCTTAAGTTCCATCTTCTAAATCTTGTTGAGTTAAATGAACAAGAATGATTTGTAATTGGAAGTAACTTGAATTGGATAGTCCCATTTCTTACCCTACTTTTACGATACTCTCTAGGGACTTAAACATGGAGTTTTGGGATATAACTGACACATTTCACTTTTGTCACGTCTTGCATTTGTTCATAATTATTTTTGTCTTGTCTTCCACATAGGAATGGAAATCTTGTTCTGTGGGATGCCAGTTTGGATACAATCCTGCAAAAAAACCTGATGCTGCTTTTGGTTTAGCTCACCAATCTGGGACAGCCAGTGTTCTCCGATCCATGGAATCAGCTCAATACTATGCTGAGAACAATCTTGCTCATGCACGACGGTGGGTAAGCACATACAAATATGGCATAATTGCAGTTTTTGAAGATTTTCTCTTTTTCATTTAATGTTGTTTGTGGACATGTTATCCCTTTATCATAGGAATTGCAATCTCGTACAAGTATTGAGTAAGGTTTTAAGATTTTTTAAGGCTTATTTTCTTGAAAAAATGGTACCCACAAATTTGAAGAGCTGAAAACAAATTATTTTATCTTTTTAACATGGTTTAGAATATCTCATATGCTGTGCTGCATATTGCATAGTACTACTTTGAATTGTGTCTATTAACTATAAGCCTAAGTGTTCTGGTGGGACATACCAATCATTCATGCAATCGATTGGAATTACTTAATATAATCATTTCTCAATCGCATTCCTGACGGATGGTGTTCTTCTTTTCCTTCGGGGGGAAACCCTCAGAATGCAAACTTCATCTGTGCTAAAACTTGTTTGTATGACTAATAGTTTTAACTTCTTTCATTTGTACTAGGAGGGGATATGATATTGTTATGACAACTAGTCTCTCATCGGATGTTCCTGTTGGATATTTTTCTTGGGCTGAGTACGACATCATGGCGCCCGTACAGCCAAAGACTGAGACTGCACTTGCAGCTGCATTTATTTCCAACTGTGGTGCCCGCAACTTCCGCTTGCAAGCTCTTGAAGCACTTGAAAGTGCTAACCTCAAGATAGACTCTTATGGCGGTTGCCATAGAAATCGTGATGGAAGAGGTGTGACATTTAGATGCTTTTTTAAAGTAATAATAATGATATTTTGCTAATTTTCTGGTTCAAAGCATTACAACTGGGAGTTGTGACTCTCTTGCATGCTTTCTTAGCGTGCCGTATGAGGTTTGCAACAAACTGGGGTTCAGTTTGTGGCCTTTATTTTGTTTTTGGTTGAAAATATTCTGTGTTGGCTCCAATGTATTGAAAGGTGAAGGCATAGGTGAGGCGTCCCATGGATAGCCCTGCCCAAGCGTGAGGCATGAGGCAAAGCCTCACGGTACCTAAAATTTTATTATATAATTTATATTTATAAAATAGAATACTTTGTAAAACAAATATAATTATAACTAAATCAAATATAATAACATCTTCTTCATTATTAAGTCTAGTTGTACTTAGAAACTATGTCATAGTCTTAAAATGTTTTAATTATTTTATTTTATTGTAAGCAATTATAGAGAACTTCAAGAGAAATAAGATTGAGTGGGCACAATTATAGGGAATTTCAATGAAAATAAAGGCTGAATTTTGCAATTATACGCAATTTAAAGGAAATAAAGGTTGAGTGGAGCAATTATAGGGAATAAAGGCGGAATTTTGTTGGAATGTTACGAGAATATCCATAAAAATATGCTTATCTATAAATAATAAACACAAAAAGATACTTATCTATCTATCTATCTAATAAATAATATAAAAAATAAAAGTGAATAAAAAAAAGATAGTGCAATAATAAATGTGGGGACTATTAAAATTTTAAGGAGAAAAAAATATAGAAAAATGAAAAGTCAGGAGAAAAGATAGCCCTCGCCATCTGTCTTCTTCATCTTCCCTGGTACGGTTTTGCAACTCAGCTTCGTCACTAGGCACGGCTTTGGTTTGGGTATTTTTACCAAAAAAAAAAAAAAGCAAAAAATGGGAATAAAAAGAACGCTTGGACACCCTGAGGCGCACCTTTGCCGTCTAGGCTCGCTCCAGCAACGCCTTACGCCACACCTGGAAAACAGAGGCGGCAAGCTACTCACCCAGCCTTCGAAACCGCCTAGGCGCGCTCCAAGGCAAGAGCCTTTTAAAACACTGGTTGGCTCTATAGTGTCTCGTAGGTAATTCAATTTGTTGGATTTTGACGGTAGGTTTAATCTTGCCTAGTGTTGTATTGTTTGGTCTGAAATAGATTCACAGGCGCATAAAATTTTTCTTTCTCCCTTGCCATTTTTTCGTTTATAAGTTACTTTCCCTGGCTATAAGGATATAGAATTTGGAAGTTTGAATTGTAAGAAATTGTTTTTGATCTAATGGGCAAGGTAAGTCAGACCTTAGTTGATTATGATATCACTTAAACAAGCTGCATGTGCTTGGAATTATTATTATTTTTTCCGATCATGTCTATCAGTTCTAGACTTCTGGTTGTGCAATCAGAGAGGGACTGGATGTTTCATTATTGGCTAAATAGTTGGCATCTTGAACCAAATCCAGTATTTGAACCAAATAAACACATATAATAAACTACTAAGATATATTATGGCTTGTATTCTATAGTTATAAGATATACATAACCTGTAATTGTTTAATAATTTGCTTCTGTTTTAAATGAATCTAGCAGTTGACAAAGTTGAAACTCTGAAGCGCTATAAATTCAGTTTGGCATTTGAGAATTCCAACGAGGAGGATTATGTTACCGAGAAATACTTCCAATCGCTTGTTGCTGGTATGAAACTACTCTCTCTCTCACCCCCTCCCCCTCTCCTCCCTGGTGTGTTGATTGTAGTTGTGATGCATAATATGAAAACTTCTTGTGGAGGAAAAATTCAGAATTTAGGGGCAACCAGGATTCTTTTAACCCAGATAAATGTTGTTTGAATATATGTAAAAAATCTTGGTAATAGTTCATAAACAAATTTAAGAGATTTAGTATGGATGGAAAACTATGAGTGTGGGCATTCATCTTTGAAATTGCAGTGTTTTGCCTCTTAACATCTATAAGATCTAATGGATTACATTTTCGCATTCAACATGAGGGAAAAAATTGCATTTCAGATTCCAAAAGCAAAATTGTCATCTATGTACTGAAATTGAAGAAAGATGTTGGGTATGGACGTTGATATTTTATTGTTCCAGGATCTATACCTGTGGTTGTTGGTGCTCCAAATATTGAAGAATATGCTCCTGCTCCTGGTTCAATTTTACATATTAAGGAGCTAACCGATATTGAATCAGTTGCCAAGAGAATGAAATTTCTTGCAGATAATCCTGAAGCATATAATCAGTCATTGAGGTAAATCATTAGCTGTTTGTTTCTTCTCATTTTCTTCTTTTCTGTAACATGTCAAATACTTTTCTTTTTCTATGTTTCAGTATTGTTTCTGTATGAAGATTGAATGATGTTTAATGATTAGGTGGAAGTATGAGGGTCCATCCAATTCTTTCAAGGCCCTTGTGGACATGGCAGCAGTACATTCATCATGCCGTCTTTGCATTCACCTGGCAACAATGATTCGCGAGAAAGAAGAAATGAACCAAGGGGTCAAAAACAGACCCTGCAAGTGCACCAGAGGTGAAGGAGTCGTCTATCATTTATATGTAAGAGAAAGAGGGAGGTTCAATATGGAATCTATTTTCTTAAGGTAACTTCATTTCCCTAACACCAATTACTACACTAGCAGCCAAGACTGCCGGGAATGGGATCTGTCTCTGCACATTGTTTACATCCTTACGAGTTTCATCATGCTGAAGATTTCCGTCTAAGTTTATTTTATATTTCTAGAAGAGGGAAAAATAAAACTTCTAGTGTCATTGCATGATGAAAAATTAAATAAATTTTTGTCCCCCAATATCTTTTTCTGTGACAGGTCTGGCAATTTGACTCTTGGAGCTTTTGAGTCTATGGTGCTCGCGAAATTAAAGTCCCAGAAACATGTGCCCATTTGGAAACCAGAAAGACCTGAAAGCATAAGAGGAGGAGACGAATTTAAAATATATAGAATATATCCTGTTGGCATGACGCAGAGGCAAGCTTTATATACCTTCAGATTTAATGGGGATGCTGATTTTAGAAGACACGTTGGAAGCAACCCCTGTGCAAAGTTTGAAGTCATATTAGTTTAGATTGAAATATGCATTCTGTCAACATTGATCATGGATATGCTGATTTTAGCAGCTTACTTTTGATATATTTGTCAAGAGAGATCGAGGTGGTCTCGTTCGGGCAATTTGTTATGCCCTCTTTGTACACACTGATTTTTGGAGGAGTGAACTGCAATATCTTTAGGGAAGATGGTGCCGAGGACATGTGGATGATTGATTGTATGCCCATTGATTCAGATCTAGTCCTATTTTAGTTGTAAGATTCTGTCTTCTCGTCAGGTGAAGTTGATCAAAGCACCCGAAGTGTTCTTTATCGTTTTAGTCCATTAACAGTCTTGGAAGGAACTGTTTCAGTTGCGAAGACTGAAATCGGGTTCATTTTGTAATTCAGAAAGAGTAATGCTAGGAAGACTAAATTTGTAGACAAAATTTCGTAAATTAAATGACCTGAAAGTTAATGATCGGATTATTCCTGAGACGTTGATAAACGTCCTTAATCTTATTGGTAACACATGATTTAGCTTATAAATTTTGTCTACAAATTTATTCTTTCTAGTAGTATTCATTTACAACATAGTTGCCTTCTTATATTTAAGGATTTGTCAAATTATAAAATTTTCGTTTACCAGACAGTGTTTATCGGGATAACTAGATTCACTATAATTCCAAAGACAAAGTTGGAGCAATGATCACTAAACAAAGTAAAATCAAAATCAACAATTCTTATTAATTATTTTGCTATTCTTTTATTTGCTTCATAGGTGATAGGAGCATATTTATGCTACTTAGTTATGTTGTTTCCTTGCATTTAGTTAGTTAATTACTACTTATTATAGTCTTTTAAGCTATTTTTGTATGTTTGTAGGTCCAAATGGCAAAAGGAGTAAGAAAGTGCATTTTGGAGCCATTTGGAGCAGATTTGGGCATAGATTGGGTAGCTTAACTATGGGGCAAAGTGGATGGACGAAATTGAAGTCAAGAGAGGCTAGGAAAGGCTACAAATCTGGAGAAAGAAGTTCAAATGCAAAGAAGATAAGGAAATAGCAAGAAATAAGGAACCTTATCCAACCTTATCTTACCTTATCTTAACCAACCTTATCCTATCTTATCGTATCTTATCCAAATCAGTTTGTGCCATAGTTCTAGCTATTTCGAAGGGATTAGATGACATTTAAACACATAATTCAGATTCTAAAAGCCTCATCCCTTTGTATGCCGCATAGACACCATTCCTTTAAAGTTTGGGAGTTGTAGTTCATATCCTACACTGATGCGAGAATTATACGCACACAAATTAACCCTCTTTTTGACAATTGTAGTATAGAATGTAAGTAGGGATCGTTCAGGACCGGGGATTAGGAGGGATTGTTAATCACTTGGATTTCACTCAAAAACGTAAAAACACAATATAAAACACTCTACTAGACTCAAAGAATGCAAAACTAAACTTTAAAACACTAAAACAAACCAAAAGACTCAAAACAGCACCAAAACACTCAAAACTGCCTTAAAAACACTTTCTGGGCAGTTTTGAGCACTTTGAGTACTTTGGACGAATTTGGGTAATAACTTGAATCAAAACACTTAGAAACACAAACTAAGACACTTTCTAACTATATTGGACACTAAAGTAAAGGGGGATTGACTTTTTGACGAAATTAACTAAAATGCACAGATTGTAATTAAAAACAGATTGTAAAGATGAATGTGATGGAATTGAATGGATTGATGCGAGAATTATACGCGCACAAATTAAACCCTCTTTTTGTCAATTGTAGTAAGTACGTAAGTAGGGATCGTTCTGGACCGGGGATTAGGAGGGATTGTTAATCTCTTGGATTTGACTTCAAAAACGTAAAAACAAGTTTAAAACACTAATTAATGCAAAGAATGCAAAATTAAAAGTAAGAAAGATTAAGACTAAGACTTAAACAAAATATGGGGGGGGGGGATTTAGGTTTGGACGAGATTAAACTAAAATGGATAGATTGCAAAGAAAACAAATTGTAAATACGGATTTGACGGGAATGAATGGATGGGAAGCTAGCTAAGGGGTTCATCTCCACACATGTTATACTTGCATACAAAACGATTTCTAATTGCTTTTCAATAAACCATGAATTCTCAACGCCCCGGGTTAATTAGGTCCGCTTAAATTAACCGTCAAGTTTTCCTTAAGTTAATGAATTGGATGATTGCATACGATAACCCAAAGCATTCCTCACAAGTTCCCTACATGAATTGCATAATAGAGATACAAGCAAGAATCATTAAGCAACATGAAAACTATAAGTGTTGACGAGGCATTCGTTACTATGATTGTGATAGGAGCATATTTAGGCGACTTACTTAGCTTGTTCTCGTACATTTACGTTATGTTTCTTTAGTTATTTTAGTTCTTTATACTTCTTTTGTGTGTTTTCAGGATTATAAGACGTGTTTGACGAAAGGATGCATTGTGGAGTGTTTTGGGGCCTTTTTGGAGCACTATTGGGCTAAGGATGGATAGCTTATTCTTGGAGCCCAAGTGATGGATGAAATTGAAGGCCTTGTATGCACTTGAGGACACAAAACAATGGCCCTAACCCAATTACAATCACATTGCCATGGGCTTAACACAAACACCATTCCTTGCCATGCAAGGGGGAGCAATTTGGGTCCATTTCATGCACTTAAACCCTAGCCCAATTACACACCATTGCAGCCAAATCCATTATTTGTCATGCACATTCACCACCAATTCAACCACATGCACTTATTCCTCCATCATTACACACCATTGCAGCCACATGCACAAAACACCATCCTTGCCGTCCAAACACATGCATTTCCCTTGCCATTTTCAGCCATCACACTTCATCATTGCAGCCACCATTCATCCTAGTTGTCAATCACATACTTTCCCATTGTATAATTCATCCACATGCATCTTTAACCAACAAACAAATCAGCCACAATGCATCAACACATCCCTTGCCGTGACCTTCCTAGCCATTTCCAGCTTTTCCCTTTACAATTCACATGCATTCCATACTTTTCCTAGCTGTTTTCCATCATTATTTCAGCCACCATTCACCCTTTATTTCACATGCATTCACACACACTTCATTTCCAAACAACAATCACTTCAAATGCCATGCATTCACATGCATTTACACCACCAAAAACCCCTTTGCCGTGGGCTCTCAATGCCTTTCCAGTTTTCCCTTTTATTTTCCAGCTTTCATTCTTCATCATTACAAGCACCTTCACATGCATTTCCCACCTAACATTTCCCCCTTTAATGCACATGAATGCCCTTCATAAATCAGCCACATTCACACACCTTTTCTCCAACCATGCCGTGCAAATCACCACATATTTCCAGCTTTCCAAATCAGCCACCTTCACATGCATTCACTCATAATCATTCACTCACCTTGCAGCCACATTTCCACCCACCTCCTAGCTGTCATGTTCCCTCCACTCCTCCTATAAATACCCTTGCATTCATTCATTCATTCATATCTCATTTTCATACACAACACACCACAAACACTTCCATCTTCTCCCTAGCCGTGAGCTTCTCTTCATTTCTGTGCAGTTTTTCTCCTCCATTGCAGCCACTATCCAACCATTTCCCATCCCTCCAAAACACTTCACACCATCACACAACCTATCCTTAGACCTTGTGCAACAACAACGAGGAAGAGAAGAGTGCCTAAACGTTCATACAATTCAAGTTTGAGTTGTTGGAATGTTTAGGCGTTTCTTTGATTTCAATGTTTAATTTCAATTCTCTTTGTTTTGTAAGTATGAGGAACTAAACCCCCCTTAGCTAGGGGGTGATTCAAAATATATGTTTATGCTTGCAATATGATTTGATTACTTTTAATTACGTTTCATAAGTTGTGAATTCAATTTGTTTAACTATTTGATTGATATCCTATTTATGTATGTTTATTAAGAATGAACGCTTAATTTTCATGCATGAATATGACGCTAGAATATAAGTGAGTTTCACGTAATAGTTATGAACTTATATTCACAAGTAGTGGAGGTTGCTTATAAACAATCGCGTTAAACAAATTCTTGGCATAAGTTTCATGCAATCATAGTAACGAATGCCTCGTCAACACTTATAGTTTTCATGTTGCTTAATGATTCTTGCTTGTATCTCTATTATGCAATTCATGTAGGGAACTTGTAAGGAATGCTTTGGATTGTCGTATGCAATCATCCAATTCATTAACTTAAGGAAAACTTGACGGTTAATTTAAGCGGACCTAATTAACCCGGGGCGTTGAGAATTCATGGTTTATTGAAAAGCAATTAGAAATCGTTTTGTATGCAAGTATAACATGTATAGAGATGAACCCCTTAGCTATCTTCCCATCCATTCATTTCCGTCAAATCCGTATTTACAATTTGTTTTCTTTGCACTCTATCCATTTTAGTTTAATCTCGTCCAAACCTAAATTCCCCCCCCCCCCCCCCCCATATTTTGTTTAAGTCTTAGTCTTTCTTACTTTTAGTTTTGCATTCTTCGCATTAATTAGTGTTTTAAACTCGTTTTTACGTTTTTGAAGTCAAATCCAAGAGGTTAATAATCCCTCCTAATCCCCGGTCTAGAACGATCCCTACTTATACTTATACTACAATTGACAAAAAGAGGGTTTAATTTGTGTGCGTATAAATCTCGCATCAAATTTTGGCGCCGTTGCCGGGGATTAACAACTTTGCTAATCTCTTGGATTGTTTTATTTTCTTTTGTTTTTATTTTATTCCAAATTCTTAATCTTGTTTTGTTTCTTGTTTTAGGTACTAGTTTATGACTCGGAGTTCTCATCCGATTCGTGAACATATCTCGAGCTTTAACGCTGATTTCGAGCGAGAATTGAGACGAAAAAGAAGGAACTCAGAACCTAGCGAATCAAGTGAAAGTTCCGAGTCCGTTTCTGAATCCGAAGAAGAACCCAAGATAACAGTGGGTGAAGAAGACATGGCAGCAGACAACCGAACAATCAAGGAGCTTTCCGCTTCGGGATTGGCCAATGCCGCCCCATTATGCATTCAATACCCCGTGGCTGCCCAAGGCAAGACCGATGAATTCGAGTTAAAGTCAAGCTTGTTGCACCACATTCCGAAATACCATGGGCTTTCCATGGAAGATCCCAACAAGCATCTCAAGGAGTTCAAGGTTGTTTGTTCGAGCATGACCGCTGTCACTGTGGATGGGAGTATATTGAAGATGAAGGCCTTTCCATTTTCACTTATGGAC